TTACTGTCCCACCTACAAACTTACCTGCTCATAAGTTGCTTGTGAAATGCAGGTTGCAGTTTTGCTATCTATATTTGTAAATAACCTTATAGACTCTATCGATCTACCCAGGTCTCCATTCAAAGTTCCATGGTAACTTGGTGGACTTCCCTGGTCAGTCCACAGTCATTGTATGAGATCGCTATGAAGCATGTAACATAGTATTTCAGTGCCAGGGTATGTCGGCAGCCCATAGATGGCATGTACGTGGTACCAAGTGCAGAAGACCAGTTCAGTGAGTGTCTTTGCAATTTTCCCAAGAAAAAGTTTCTGTCATGAGGAGTATAATCGCTTTTCCAGGATGGTTTGGCCTCTTATTCGTTCGACGAGGTGTTTTTGGTGGTGGTATTTTCCGATTCAACGTGAGAATACCGCATGATTTCCCAAACACAACCTCTCTCCCGGTAAGCTCCTTTGAGATCCTCTGAACTCCTTGTCTCTTTCGCTCTAGTCATTCTCAGAAGAACTATCACTATTCACTATTCGGTTTATTGCAACCCAGAAAGCAAACTATTCGTTATTGCAACCCAAAAACCAGAATTTTCAGAAACTCGGTCATAGGTATAATATCAGAAGAATTAGTCACTCCTGTTTTAGGGCGGCCTAATCTGGTGCCAAAATTGGCGCCAGCGCCAGAAACGAATGATTCGCAGGGTGCAGGCCACAACGTACATTGTTGTACGAAATCCATGAATGAGGATTCCTACTTCATTTGATCGCTGGGGGAGCGGAACGTATTCGGATTCCTATCGGGTCCCCTAGTTGGCAGCGTTGCAACCCACTCCAGCTCAGCAGGGAAAGTTCTGAGAAAATTTGGGAAGTGAGAGGTAAATAGTTCATACTGAGCCTTTTGATTCAACCCATCCCGAAGATGTAGCCAGTAAATCTTCTCAATTCAGTTTCGACAAAAAAATGGCATTTTAGGGTGGATGTCACGTGAAAAATCCACCCGTCTTCAAGTCAACATCATTAGTCGGTTTTCCAACGATTTTCCAGCTATTCTGTTATTAGTGCTATCGAAGTTACCCTTCTATTATTGTCTGAAAATTTCAATGTTTACAAATCGGTGAGCTTCACCGAATCGGCCATCGCGAACCTGGATGTGCTTGAAAAGCAGGCGGTTTCATCCAATCTCCTCTTCTTAAATCATGAAGCTCGTAAAATGCACAGTGACAGAGTAGTTGAAAGTCTGCTCGTTGAAATTCATCGAAGACTTCCCCCATCTGCCGAACATCATTCAATAATTCTAAGATTGTTGAAAGAACATGGGCTGTCATGAAATCTGGGAGCAGAGGGTTTCCGTGATTTTGTGAAACTGGAAGAATACCTCAGGATTTTCTTGTGAACTCATTAGTCGCTGCGTATTGAGCTGTTTCACTGTCTAGATCTGCAAGTGTCTAAAAGCTGTCCAATATTCACGATACTACCTGTTGTTTG